GGAGGAAATGGGTCTTTCTTTCTTCCACTTCTGCATATCTCCTACTGTAAGCTGCCTGGGTCAGAGGCTCTTACTGTGTATTCTTGTAACGTGGGACATAGCAGGCCCTAGATTTTGATGGAAAACTACATATTCTGTAGAAAATAACTCGTATGTAGACAGGCTCCAGTATGATTTGGACATCTCAGTTGTTATGAAGGCGCCCATTGATAGCTCTCTGCTTTTTATTTCTCCCAAAAAGTCACTAGTTATGGATTGAGTATCCAGTAAAACTTTAAATAAATAGTTAACCTCAATTCTAAAAACTAAAGCTCAGATAGAGAAATTTTGAAATTCCATCATTGTTGAATCCCGCAAAGCAGGGGTTTGGGATTATGAATCCTAATCCCTTTATCATCCCCAATTTGGTTATTATTTTGTGTAGTCCCAATTATGAGCTAATTACAAAGCATTTATATGTACATATAAAATGATTTTAAAAAAAACCCAGAACGATTGTATTTGAGTGCTATTTTAAAGGCAAAAGAAAAAGCAAGTTCCAAAAAAAAAAGTTGTATCTCATTTGTGTTCATTTTCTGGGGAAGACATGGCTTTGCCTGGACGTGGTGAAGCTCCCAAGGCATGGATATATACTAGGCATGAGGTGGAAAGGTAATGCCTTAGGAAGAGACTGCAGTCAATGTCCAAGTTGTGTCTATATGAATTCCAGGGGGAGCGCTGGACGGAAGGAAAAAGCAAATTTTGAATCTGGAATGGAAATTTGAGGATTTATGTATTACAGCTACATGTATCTGGATCTTGATCCTCTATCTTTACTTTGACCTTATCTTGGATTTGTGTTAAGGCAGATTTCATTGCAGCAGATAAAATTGGGTCATTTTGTTCCCACAGCCCTTGAAATCAAGGTGCTGGGCCAGTACTGGTTGCAGTCCTTGGTATGCAACAGACTGCTGCAGGTTTCCTGGTGTTGAGAGGGTATTTTACTACTTTGCTGCATAAACGGGTATAGAAGTTGGTAATAGTCATGTATTTATTAAAAAAAAGGGGCAGGGGGAGGAGAGAGAGAAGAAAACCCTGTCTTCTCACTCATCAGTGAGCTAATCAACCAAGAGCAGAATGATGGGAAGAATCCTGAGCCCTGTGTTCCCCAGGTGAGCTTGTATTATCTAGTAGAAAATTAGCCTGAACACGTGTGACGTGTGTCCTGGTTTCGGCAGGGATAGAGTTAATTTCCTTCCTAGTAGCTGGTACAGTGCTGTGTTTTGGATTTAGGATGGGAACAAAATTGATAAGGCACCGATGTTTTAGTTGTTGCTAGGTAATGCTTACACTGGCCAAGGACTTTCTAGTTTCCCATGCTCTACCGACTGAGAAGGCTGGAGGTGCACAAGAAGCTGGGAGGGGGCACAGCCAAACTGGCCACAGGGACATTCCATACCGTGTGACGTCATGCTCAGTACATAAACTGGGGAAAGCTGGCCGGGGGGGGGGCCGCTGCTCGGGGACTGGCTGGGCATCAGTCGGCGGGTGGTGAGCAATTGTACTGTGCATCACTTGCTTTGTGTATTATTATTATCATCATCATATTATTATTATCATTTTATTTCAATTATTAAACTGTTTTTATCTCAACCCACGAGTTTTTCTCACTTGTGCTTTTCCAATTCTCTCCCCCATCCCACCGGGGGGTGGGGGAGTGAGCGAGCGGCTGCATGGTGCTTAGTTGCCGACTGAGGTTAAACCACGACACGTGCCAGTATGCATATCAGATAATTGAAAGAGCTGGTACAACGTGTGTTTGCATAGCAGTCCATTTCAATTGCTTCTAGGTGGTATACATGCTGCATGTATAGTGGATATATATGCTGCATGTGTAGTGGGAAATACATGGTTATATGAATAAGCAGATGAATAAAGAAAGTATGGCTAGTATGCTGGAAGCCATGGATGAAACTGAAATCGAAGCCATTCTCTTCATTATCAAAAAAAGTAGTATGGTATCACGGTGCAATTTCTGTCACTGGAGTAATATCATATAAAATGCTTTATGTGTGTAGATTTGTGCTGTTGACATAAAAAAAATCCAAGAATAATTTGTAGTCTGTTTATAAAGTATTATATAAAAATTTGAAAAATGAGTGTATGAAAATTACTCTCCAAACCTGGCTTGTTTACTGCATATTGTGCTCAGGAAGGACTTAAGCACTCAGTAACTGGCTCACTTATTTATTGCTTGCTTACTTAGTAAGGGCTTGAGTCTGTCCTCTTCCCTGCCCCTTCTCTTTTTCAGTCTTGGCTCTACAATTAAGAATATGAGAATGTAATTTTTAACACATTTCTACTGAGTTTTTGGCTGTTCTTAACAATGGGTAAAGGTGGGGTTTCTGTTTTGTTGTTGTTTGTCTGGGGGGGTGGTGTGTGCTTTATTTTTACCGCTGTAGCTGCTGGATAGTTAGTCACTATGAAGGCATGTATAAGTGAATTGTATCCATCATTGACTAGGGCATAGGTGTAACCTGGTCAGTAATGGATACAATTCCATCATTGTAAAAGGTGTTTTCTTTACAGTAGGTAAAACAGTTGTTAACGAACGTACATCAGTAAACACGTTTCCCATGACTGTGAATGCTTGGCTGTCCGAAGACCATAATATTGTGAAAAGATCTGCCACTTTGATCTGCTTGGCCTTATGAGATCTATATAAAAATTCAAATGGTAAGAGCAGGATTATAAAACTGATCATTTGCTGTAAAAGTTTGAATGAACCTAATGCTACTATGTAACATGTTTTGTTTTGTGGGTTTTTTTTCACCTTCTTGCCTGATTCTTAGTAATGGAGCCAAATTCTTTTGGATTTTATGAACTGGACTCTCATTCCCCTGCCCCTCAAAAAATCCCAGAGTAACGTTATAGTTTCATTGAAGTGCATGGGAAAGCTTCTACTGACTTCACTCAAGTCTGAAATGAGTTCAAATTATTATTTGAATTCCCCTTCATTTGATATTGTGTTGACTGCACGTACCTGTATTAAGTGCAGCATTTCTTGTTCATTATGCTTTGAGTGCATGCACTCTACATGCAAAAACATTTCTAGTGTTTGAGACTGGAGTGTGTATTTCTCTTCGCATTTGTAGGAAACCAACTGCTATTAACCATTTGTTGAGTGAACACTGAAATCTCTTTTTCCTAGGAGCCATCATTTGAGATGCTTCCGTTGACTGGGAAAACAATAATATTTGATAGCTTTCCTGATCCTTCAGATACCTGGGAAATAATTGAGACTATTGGCAAAGGAACATATGGAAAAGTTTTCAAAGTGTTAAATAAGAAAAATGGCAGCAAAGCAGCAGTCAAAATTTTGGATCCTGTTCATGTAAGCTACTTAAATTACTTGGTTTGTGCTTATTTAGTTGTAGGTGAATTTATGTAGTCTTTTTTTCTTTTAATCTTGGTAGATCATTTGCATTAGAAGTGATAGTGAAATAAACTGCTTCAACCTGCTAAGTATCAGGCTAGCTATCAATGCATTTTTCGTATCATAAGTGATCTTGGAAGTGGTTGCATATGGTAGGAGTCAGCAGTATACCTAAACTTTGTTACCTTTACTTTTGGTTCCCCCTTGTTTATCTCTTACTTTCAGAAGCAGAGCTGATTATTTTCCTTTTCAGTACCAGAAGTCCTAGCTTCTTCTATTTTTACTGTTGTTCCCTTTCCTTTTTTTTTTTAATACTAGCCAGTAAGAAAGTTACGTACTTTTAAGTGCTTTAGATGTACCTTCAAGCATCTATTTTGAGTACATGCTTTTAGCTGAGTTACATGCTATAAGCGATACTTTAAAAATAAAACAGCATAGTTTATTTTTATTGTTATTGTTCGTTCTGCATTTTCAGAATGTGCCAAAATATGTAGATATCACATAGGGATCCATCTTTTCAAATGGAAAATACAAAGGCAATAGCTCCTACACACAAAGCACCAGGTGACTGGGAGGTGGAATTATATGTTGTAGAGTATGTTTTTGTTCTCAATAACTGACAGTTGTTGGGTGGTAGAATAATGCTCAAAGAGTAAGGAAGAGCATTAGTCTGGTTTGTCAAGGCATACCCCATTAACTTCAGTGGTGCTGCATGTGGCTTGGGGTTTTTCTCGATAACAGTAGCCCGCAAAACATGGACAAGGAGCTGTTCCTGCTTCAAGTGGCCCCTTTGAGCTCATCTTTTGCACTCCCAGTATAGGGTTGTGAGGCATGTGCCTCCATTGCATGACCTCTGGGCAGAAGGGAAGAGCACGTCATGCCGTGTGAAACGCTGCAGGTCTGGAGCTGCACAACCACACAGGGTTCTGTCTATCCCTGCGTATCACATGCATGTCAAATTATGATCCATGGCCCATAAGTCCATGAAACGTGTTTGTGAAAACATAGTGTCTTGCATTATCTTTGCTGTGTTTCTTGTTGATCTGCTTTTTGTTTCAGCATGCTTTCAAAGCAACAAAAGGAGGCTCATCTCAATTCAATATCACGTACCTCTCCCAAAGTAAATATGATTTGCAGCCAAGCGATAAGGATCTTGATGAATTCAAATGCATTGGAAACTCTATTTTGGAGTCTGTTGCTTTCTGTAAACAAGGTTCTTGTGCTTACAGTGAATAGGCAGGACTTTCTTGCAGCTGGTGTTCGTCTAAATGCCCGTATGGCAGGAAATGCTTCTGCTTTCATCTATTTTCACAAGTGTCGGGAATGATTCTTAAGCGGCAACTGGCTATGGCAGGGATTACTGAAGGCATTGGGGAAACTTTCAATGTTGTGTACACTTTGGAGGTTGTAGGAAAAGGATAAAGGATGATGACAGGAAGAAAGAAGAGGTAGTAAAGCTGATGCCAGAGGAAAGAGAAATAGATTAAGTAGGAGATAAGGGAGTACAATGTAAAGAAGACAAAAGAAATACAATGGATAAAGATGCAACATAAGAAACTGAAGAAGGGAAGAGTTATAACTGATGAAAACAGATTCCTTATTTTAATGAAAAAATTGAAGTCAGTATTGCATTCAACATCACAGTCCAAGACTTGAACCTTTTAACTGAATATATTCTCCTTTTTATTCTAAGAATACTATTCTTCTTTTCTGCCCTCCTATTTACAGGATGTCTGGAGTAGCTGCTGTACCTCCATGTTACTGTTAAAATGGCAATCCTATATTAGAAATAGGGTGAAAGCAATAAACAGTTCTTTCTGTTTAAACTGGAAGTATTATTAATGGCTGCAGAGGGAGCCATTGCAATGAAGAAAGATAACTACTTTCTGTATTTTCTTCGTTAAATTTTACAGTTTTTTTCTTTGAAGATCGTTTCAGCATTGTGCCACTTGAGAACCAGACTGAAAAAACAAGCAGAAGAAATGTGCTTTTATATCACTTGGTTTAACTGATATTTCCAAATTAAACTGGGAAACTACATTATCATGGGTGATGTGAGACTGAAATAAGCATTTCATATTTAATCCTTTAGAGCTCTCAGGTTCTTTGTGTTGAATAACAGCTCAGCTTTTTGAAACTGAAACTGGAAAGTGAAGGTGTTGAAGTGAGAATATATGAAGATGGAACTGAGAATGCTCTTAGTCTTGTCCTCAGGGCTATAAGTAAATACCATTGCACTTTAGGGCTCTTAGCCAAATTATCCTATGTCTAAGTTCACATGGAAATATTCCCTCTACCATTTCTGAAAGAGGTACTCTTATGCAGGTAAATATGTTCAATTCAACCAAATATTTCAAGTTCTCTTCCTTCATAAAATGCAGAGGAATATTTTTCTTTCTAGTATGCACAGAATGAATATTCTATTCATTTCATTCTCTCTCTTTTCATTTCTCTTTATAATAGTAAAAATCTCATAAAATCTAAGTACCCTTCAGGAGGTGGAAACCTCTATTAAATCATGGTAGGACAGTGGGCTAATTCTCTTCCAATTTCCCCAAGGCAGCCAGGGCTACTGTATGTTTTGTGTGTAGTTTTTTGGCTTTCGACTCTTTGTTTTTTTCGTGGGTGGTTTTGGTTTTTTTTTTTTTTGCTTTATGATCTGTCCTTTTGTTTTTGCCAGAT